TTGCTGTCGGGCGTGTCGGCGGTCCTTTGTTTGGGGTTTTGTTCCTGTTCTTCGTTTCTCAAACTTTCTCACTTTCTCACTCCGTCCCTCCCCCTCCCCCTCCCCTCTCCGCAATTCCAGTCCTTCCTCCGCCAATCCCTTCCTCTTTCCCTCCGCCAATCCCTCCCTCCTTCCGTCCCTCCCTCCCTTCTTCCCTCCGCCATTTCCTTCCTCCCTCTCCTCCCTTCTTCCCTCCGCCAATCCCGTCCTCCCTCTATCCCTCCGTCCCTCCGTTTCTCCCTCCCTCCTCCAATCCTCCTCCTCCCTCCTTCCCTCTAAACAAACGGCGCGACGAAGGGCAGGTGTGCGCCAGGTGTGCCAAGGTTGCCAACTAGGGATAATGCAACGTCGCCTTGGCCAAATCACTTGAAGATCCTCCGAAGGTTCAGCTTAAGGAAGCGGGACTTTAAGGTCACTCCTTTTTCTGCTCTCGTTTTCTGTCTTTCCTCCTTTTATTTTCCCTTTTTGAATTTATGTTTCTCTTTTTTTCCTTTTTTCGTATTTTTTTTTCTTTTTTGCTTTTTTTTTACATTTTTCCTTTTGCATTTTTAACGAATTTTCTTTATTTTTACCTTTTTTATTCATCCCTGGTTCAGCATTATTTATCATTATTTACTGTATGTATTGTTACTTTGTTTTAGATTATGTTACCATTATTGACATCATTATTTTATATTCTGCAGTAATCTTTGTTTCTTCATTTTCACTCTATTTTACCTCTCTGACTTATTTCACTTCATTTCTCCTTTGCCCCTTCCTCTATTCCCACTTATTTCATATATCTATATTTTCTTTCCTCTCTTCCCCTTCCCCGCTCTATTCTATTCCTGTTTTCCCAACGAGGTTCTTCGTTATGGTTTCCTGAGAATGCATAAACTTGGTCCTCTTCCTCCTTTCCTGTTTGTTTATTTTTCTCCTGCTCATTTCATATTCGCTTTTTCCTCTTTTGAATATTATTTTTCTTCATGGATGGATATATACATTTTTTTTTCAAAGTCGTTCCTTTGTCGTTTTAGTTTTTGCTTGTTTCTTTTTCTTCTGTTATATGTGTGTTTTTATCACCTCTTTCTTTTTTTTTTCCTTTATGCCGCTCTGCCCCTTCCTCTTTCCTCCTCCTCTTTTTCACCTCCTCCCCTCTCCTTTTCTTCTTCCTCCTCCTCCTCTCTTTCTTCTCTTCTTCTCTCCTTCTTCTTCTTCCTCTCCTCCTTCTTCTTCTTCTTCTTCTTCTTCTTCTTCTTCTTCTTCTTCTTCTTCTTCTTCTTCTCCTCCTCCTCCTCCTCCTCCTCCTCCTCCTCCTCTCCTTCCTCCTCCTCCTCCTCTCCTTCCTCCTCCTCCTCCTCCTCTTTGTCCTCTTTCTCCTCCTCCTCATCTTTCCTTCTCCCTCTCTCTTTCCCTTCTCCTCCCTCATCAGCCGCATTCCCTCTGTCGTCACCAAGCGTGAGGGCGGCTTGATTTCCCCCTCTGCATAACGAAGGGGAAGAGGGAGAGGGAGAGGGAGAGGGAGAGGGAGAGGGAGAGAAGGGAGAGGGAGAGGAGAAAGAGGAAGGAGGAAGAGAGAGAAATGAAAGAACGAGAATTGGAATCATTTGGTCTTCGCATCCAAGACAAAAAGCGAAGACCTTACGCAGAAATAAGAAATACAAAAAAAAAGAAAGTCTTCGTTCCTCTTGAGTCTTCCCCTTCGCCCTCTTCCTCTTTCGCTCACCTGCGCCGAGGCCATTCGGTAGATGCTCCGACTAGAAGCTTCTAGAACAACCCCGTGACCCTTCCTCTTCGAGAATCGTGGAAGACGCGAAGATTGGGTGTAGCGGAGTGTGGCGGCGACTTTTTCCTCTTCTTCTCTTGTGCTCCCGTGTTTCTCTCTTTGTTTGTTTGTTTTTCTTTTCTCTTCTATCTTCTCTTTCCCGTTTTTTTGTGTTCCGTCTCGTCTTTTTTTCTCTCCTTCCTTTCTTTTTCTTTTCGGTGTCTTTTCCTCTTTTCTTCATTCCTCCTTTTCCCCTACTCCTCTCCTCCTTTCTTCATTCCTTCTTTCCCTCTCTTTCCCCTTTTCCTCTCCTCCTTTCTTCCTTCCTTGTCTGTCCTTGCTTTCCTCCCCCAAACCTCCTCTCTCCCTCTTTTTAAAGCTTCTCTCCTCTTTTCCTTTTATCCCTTCCTTTTATTTTTCCCTCCTTTCCTTCCTTCCCATTTCCCCCTCCCGTTCTTCCTCCCCCTACCCCTCCCCCCACCCCTCCCCCATACACATTGTCAGTTCCCCTTTGAAATCGCTGGAAATCTTGCTCGGAAGTTCTGTTGAAAGACTTTCAGTTTTATTTGTCTTTTTTGTTGTGTATTTATGTTTTCTCAGGAATCGGGGGAGGGGATGTGTGTGTGTGTGTGTGTGTGTGTGTGTGTGAGAGAGAGAGAGAGAGAGAGAGAGAGAGAGAGAGAGAGAGAGAGAGAGAGAGAGAGAGAGAGGAGAGAGAAGAGGAGAGAGGGGGGGGGGAGTGAGAAAAAATGAAATATATGTTATGTCTGTTGTTAGATAGACGGTAGACATTGTTGAGCATTAATTGATTTGCTAATCTGCACACACACACGCGCGCGCGCGCAAATAAAACAAACAGACAAAACGACCGTCACACAGAAGACGCCCAATCACCCTAGACACCCCTTCCCCCCTCAAAAAAAAAAAAAAAAAAAAAAAAAAAACGTAGCTCTCCGCCTGGGCCTCCCCCGGAGCCCGCGGCGCCTCCCCTTCAGTCTGGCAAACCAAGCGACACCTGCTGGAGCGAGAGAGCGGGGAGGCCACGCTCTTCCCCAGGTGTGACGCAGGTGTGTGGAAAAGGATAGGTGATCGGAGGTCTGAGGGCGAGGAAGCGTGGAGCTCGAGGGTGAGGTCAAAGGGCGGTGTTCGGGTCACTCTCGAGAAGCAGGTGTGATTTAGGCGAAGGGTGCGGGGAAGAGAGTTATAAGTGACCTTGATAGAGCGGCCATTTGAACGGTTCATTAGTGAAGGGAGAAGAGGGGAAGGAAGGGAAATGTAGAGAGATAGTTGGGGAGAGTAAGAGGAAGAAAAAGACGAACAGGGAAAAGAGAGAAAAAGAAGAAGAAGCGGAAGAAGGAGGGAGGAGGGGAAATAGCGAGAAAAAATAGAGAGAACAATATGGAGTATCCTTTTTTTGATCCCATCCACTGAAAGGCTGAGGAAGACAAGGAGATAAAGGCATACAAAGAGAGAGATTGAGAAGAAAGGAGAGGCGAGGAGAGCACCGGGTATTGTTAGGTATTCCTTTTAAGAAAAAAGATCGGAAGAGGATGGTGAAGCTTCGAATTCGCTCCACTCGGAATAAACGACCTTGCGAAACGAGGAAGAAGCAAAGAAAAAGAAACGAGAGGATTAAGAGGAGAAGAAGATTCATTAGCGGCTCAGAAACGGAAATTGTTTGCACTAAAAATAATAATAATGAAAAAATATATATATATATCCGTGGATCTTCATCACTATTAAGGATTTATCGACCAACTGACCCTCCTGCATAAGCAATAGAAAAAAGGCTTTGAATAAAATACGTCTCTGATTAACATTTATATTGAAGAAAAAAAAAACGCGGAAGCTTTGGATGATAACCGCAAGAAAAAAAGGAAGATAAAACAAAAGCGTAAAAAAATGACGTGGTAAAGAATAAAATGAAATAACAAGTTAAAGACGGGAGAAAAGATACTAAACGAAAAATACAGATGATAATAAAAGGCTGTAAATGAACAAAAAGGAATTAATCAGCAGATAGACAGATAGCTGAAATAAAAAATCCGTCACTAGACAAATAAAAAGTACCATAGAGACCAAAGGTATAAAACAGATAAAAAAAGACAACTACGCAGATAGAAATAAAGCTAATTAGGAAGGCGAAATGAGCAGATTCCCCCCAGAAGCGCGGGAGGGAAGGACACCCCCTCGGCGACGGCGAAGGAGCGGCTGCGAGAAAGAAAGGCCGGGAAGCATCCGAGCGGCGAGGGAACCTAAAAGGGATCAGGTAGCAGAAAATCGCTTAAAGGCTCTTAAAGTAAAGGAAAATCTCCCGCTTAGAGAGGGAGGAGGTGAGGGAGGAAGAAGAGGAGGGGGAAGGAGAAGAATGAGGGAAGAAGAAGAGGAAGGGGAGGAAAAGGAGGAGGAATGAAGGGAAGGGAGATGGAGGGGAGGGAGGGATGGAGAACCGGAGTGGCAAAAGGAAGAAAATGAAAAGAAAAAGAGAAAAATGGAATGAAAGAATGAGAGAGTGAGAGAGAGAAGAAAAAATAAAGACTGAGCGAAAGTACGAAAGTACGACAAGAGAAAAAAGACCAAAAATGGAACCGCGGTACGAAAAGTATTAATAACAATGCAGCTGATTATCCTTCTCTATTTTGGGCGAAAATACAAGGAGGAAGTTTAGTCATTTAACAAGTTAAGTGGCGAGGGCGGGGCGGGAGCGGAGAGAGAGAAACTTTGGCTAACGAAGAATGACAGCGGAGAATGAGGGTAATTGCAAGCTCAACAGCGACTGTCTACAACAACTTTTAACGAAAGGAAAACATATTCACTCATTCAGTCGCTGAATTCACTGCCTTTCGATGTCTCTGTCTCTGGTTTTGTTTCCTTTAAGTGTTGCGTTTGACACAGTTCATGGATATGTGTTCACTTCTGGTGTTTTTTAAATTTTGTTCTTGTTTTGATTTTTTAATGTTTCATGCACAAAATTAGTGTCGCAAAATTGGTGTCTATACTTATATGACGCTTCTTTTTTATTTGAATTTCCTGTCACTATTTTTAAATTTGATTTCACAAGATTTAAGTATTTACTCATGTGTTGCTATTTTAAAATCATATTTTGTTATTGCTTTTTAACGTTTCTTTTGTCCATTATGATGATCTATGTACTCTTGTGATTTTTAAACCTGAAGCAATTCCACGAGCTACAGCAAAGTTAATGTAATATCTGTAGCTTCCGATGTGTCTGCAGAGTGCCCTTCGACGGAGTACGCCATCCCGCACATGAGCGGCGAGGCGGGGGCCACAGGGGGGTACCCGCCCCCTCTCCCGCACTCCAAGCCGCCCCTCCACACCCTCAACACCTTCCTCGGCAAGCCCCCGCCCACGCCCCTGCCGCCCAACGCCGCACAGCCTCAGGAGAGCTTCTACGCCGCCACCGAGATCGTTGCCGTAAGTGATGTGGTAAGAAGGTCTTCCCTTTTCGTAAGTGCGGAGCCGGTGGATGCGCAGAGGCCGGAGGCACGGGAGCTGTAGCATGTATGCTTGTGAGGATGATGTTAGGTCGGGCTTTGATGCCGGGGAGGGGGGTTATACTTAGGAGAACCGTCACCGCTTAGGTCACGTTGAATTACGGTAAGAGAAGATCCAGCTCACTGTATAGCTCACCAGGAAGTAGCAGGTTATCGCATAATTCACGGTAAGTCACTTAGAGGAACCAGGTCATCAAATAGGTCACGGTAGGTCACTAAGAAGAACCAATTTATCACTAAGGTCTGCATAGATGATTACATAGATTACAATATGTCAATAAGAGAAATCAGGTCAACGCATAGTTCAAAAAGAAGAGTGATTCATTAAGAACAAGGTCATCGCATAGGTCACAGCAAGTCACTAAGGAGGTCTGCATAGATGACAGTAAGTCAGTAAGAAAAATCAGGTCGTTGCATAGGTCACAGTGGGTCAGTAAGAAGAACCAAGTCACAGTAGGTCACTGAGAAGAGTCCCGAGTAGGACCTGAGAGGGACGTAACCTAAATCACGTGAACTAAGTAGGATTGGAGGAAGAGCGCTCTCTCGAGTAGGGAGGGTGACCCTCGACCCTTGACGCTGAGAGGGAAAAGGGCGAAAGATAAGAAAAGAGAGAGGAAGATATAGATATAGGGTGAGAGTAAGAGAGGACGAGAGAAGCAGAGAGGGAGGGAGCGAGAGAAAGGGAGAGAGTTGCATGCGGGCGGGATGACGCAGCACCAGTGACCAGGGCGAAAGCGGGCGCGTTTTCACCGTAGAGTTTTATGGCTGCAATCTTGTCTTGGGACGTTTATGGATTTCGATAATGTAGGGCGGTGATCGGTGAAACATTTTGGTAATTTTTATGAGTCAAGAAGATTGGCAATTGAAAGAAAATATCGCTGTAGACGTTTTACTGCGGTTTAAAGGTAGGGATTCCTTAAATGTCTAGATTTTTAAAAGGAGATTCTTAGATGTAAGGAGACAGTTTAGATATAAAAGGAATATAGACATTTAAACATTTGTAGAAAAAAAGTAGGAATTGTTTGTACCCGATTAAAATACTTGAATAATCACCTTGATTTTGATTTATATCTGTTACAACTTTATTCGGGTTTCTCATAGTCAGAAGTCAAGTCCTCTCCCTAAATCATTCCTTCCCCATCCCTCATTTCCCATCTTTCTATTCACCAAACCACTTCTTCCTTCTACTTTCTCCGTATCCGTGACCCGAACTCTAGAACAATCCTGTCCTCGTCCCACAGGGCAGCAATGGCACAGCAGGGGGCCGGCAGGGGCAGCAGGGCCAGCAGGGGGCAGCAGGAGCGGCGGCCACCCTGGAGAACGTGACCGCCAGGGAGATCCCGAGGAGCGCCATCACCCTCCTGCAGCAGATCGGGGAAGGCCAGTTCGGGGAGGTCAGTCTTGTTTGGTTGAGTTACCCTTGGGACTCGAAATGTAGGAAAATAGAAGGAAATTAAAATCAGAGAGAGTATTTCCGAGACTGAATTTGGGGGAAATAATGAAGTGATGAGTATAAAGCAAAATAAACGAAAAGATTTTTAAATTCTGATTTAGAAGAAAGATCTAATGTTTTTTTATGGCATTCTTTCCGTCCAGGTTCACTTGGGCGAAGTCGAGGACGAGGAGGGACAGAAGCAGATGGTTGCCGTGAAGACTTTGCGACTGGAGGCCTCGCACTCCGTCAGGTCAGGACAGTTTTAGAAAGTTTCTTGTATTTGGAATTTCCTCATTTCCTCCCTCCCAAAATATTCTATTGAGCTTCCTGTATCTCACCCATATGTTTCCCCTCTTTCCAAAAAAATCTCATTCTTAGAGACATTCTTCTAACATTGCTGCTTGGAAATAATATCGATACGTTTTTTAAATCCATTCCAAAAAAGCACACACCATAAAAGACTCATCTACATCCCCAGATCTCAGTTCCTTTACTACGAACCTCCATAGGCGATGCTTCATTAAGCTTCCCCGTGAGGAGCCGAAGTAACTCCCGATTCTCTCTCGAAGTTAATGGTCTGAATGCTCGGTTACAGATACTCTGGCAGAGACGAGGCGGGTCTGGGGGGTTACGGTGTGTGGGTGGAACGAGCGACAGAGAGGGAGAGGGAGATGGAGAAGGAGAGGGAGAGGGAGAGGGAGAAGGAGAGAGAGAGTGGTGAGAGAGAGAGTGAGAGAGAGTGAGAGAGAGAGAGAGAGAGAGAGAGAGAGGTGTGAGAGAGAGAGAGAGAGAGAGAGAGAGTGAGAGAGAGAGAGAGAGAGAGAGAGTGTGAGAGAGAGGAGAGTGATGAGAGAGAGAGTGTGAGAGAGAGAGAGT